AGTTCCCCCCCCTCAATTTCTTTATTTATTCCTCCCCAATTTCCTTTATTCCCCTCCCAATTTCTTTATTCCTCCCCAATTTCTTTATTCTCCCCCCCTCAATTTCTTTTTTCCTCCCCTCCTCCCAATTTCTTTATTCCCCCCTCCCCTACCTCTGTTGTAGCGTGGCCGAGCTCTGTATGTATGGTCCGCGGGTACAGGGAGCTTTTGTTTCCTGTACCTGACCAGACTAACAGGAAGTACACACTGAGTGCACACTTCCTGTTAGTCCGGCCGGGTACAGGCGCAGATGCTCCCTGTACCCGACCAGCACTCTAGAACTTTCGACCCGCGCTCTAGCTGAGAGTGACAGGAGGGCTGAGCAGCTTTCCCTCCTGTCAGCCCCTCTCCTCAGGCTGCGCCCGGGCAGGCAAAGCTGCAGCCGCCTGAGGCTCTCTACAGAGCGCTCGGGCGGCTGCAGTATGAGGGGGGCCGGCGCTCCTGGCGGCACCCCCCACCCTGGTAGAACCCGGGGCGGACCGCCCCCTCCGCCCCCCCCTTAGTACGCCACTGGGTGGAGGCAAGAAAACTTCACACAATTTCCCTTGAAATTGTAGCTTTCTAGTTATTATAAGAATCCTATGAATAGATATGCCATTTTTTTTTTTTTAAATGAAGTATATGTAAAAATTACCTGAAAATTATACTTTCACAGAAGACTAGAGACCCTGTGTGCTCTGCCTCATCCCCATTCCAATTGCATTGGCAAAGTTTCATATTTATTAAAGTCAAAGGTGGTCAAATTCGGTCAGTCCGACTGATTCTGTAACATTGGTTCAGATGAGGAAACCACTGATTAGTTCCTACTTTTTCTTATGTATAACTTTAAAAAATAATTAGTAAAAAAAAAAAAAATGGGAAATAGAAGAAATAGATATAAAATAAAGTGACCGAGCTGCTGATTATGTAATTATGTAATGTTCCTGTTGAAAAGGATGCTGCAATGTTCTGCTCATAGTATGCTCAAGGTAGTTACCGTGAACTGATTTTTATCGGTCTTTCTTCTTTATTTTTTATTTTCACCCCTTCTGACGTCAATACTAACCAGACGCTTTTTTGCTCTGTTTTGTTCCATTCTGATGCATGGTCATGCTGTCTTGTGTTGATGAGAACAATATTGTACTTTCACCAAGACGTTCAGCCTTGAGTACTAGATAATTTAAAGCCCATTGATGCTTTCGTTCTTCATAATAAAAAACATAGCTTATATTTGCTAAAACAAATTGCAATTTTCCAGCGACTGTCATGTGCTTGTGAACATGATACTTGAATTTCAAAACACATACAGATTCATTATCAGTAGCCGTATCTGCGCACAGACTGATCTAAGACATTAATGTAACAGCCCATATTGGTGACCGTCTAAGAAATATATGTATTGCTGTACTATAGGGGTCAAAGCTGCTATTTAGTTCTACAATTCACTATGTATAGTAATTGTGAATTATCATTTCCATTTAATAGACAGTTTGACATAACACTGTTTCAGACTATGTTAAAAAAGATAATGCTTGGAGGTTTTTTGAGTTCCTACACACTGGCATTGTATCCAACATTTAATATTACTTCCAGAATTAAAATTTTCAATGATAAGTCCTTCTAGATAGCCCAACAATAAACATGTTGAATTCATCACACTCTAATACATGCTTCCTTACTAAAAAAAATAACAACATAATTTGGAAATAATTCTGATTAAATACCTTCTGATGATTCTGTTTTACACCAAATAAATTCAATCTGGGAATGAACTTTAAACTGTGTCACTAAGAATTACAATCAGACTCACTAACTTTTCATACCTCTGCATCATTACATTGAACATTGCATCACTATTTCGACAAAGATTACATCATTATCATGCAGACTTTTATCTCATCATCTGGTCTCCTGATACATATATATTTATATATACTATGATCATCTTAATTCGTAAAAAAAAATTGTCATCACTTGTCCTGTGCTAAAATTTCTTTAAGACGCTTCATCCAAAACAGATTTGTTTTAATCTAATTCTGGACAAATCAATTATTCAAGTCTTCTTTAATTAACTAAACTCCACGGGTAAAGTCCAGATTATCGATTCATCCAGGATTAGAAAGCATTTGAAACGAAAGGTGGAGCACTCTATGGTATCTTTATGGGAGCACTACCCCATTCACGTATTCCAAGATCAAGCACATTATTCCTACATTTTTATTAAGACACCTAACCTGCTTAACTTGTCCTCACTAGTCATCCTGATTTAACATCGTGACTCTGGCATTTCCCTAATTGGATCTCTGCTTTTTAGATATTCATGTTTGATGCTTTGCCTTTTTAATTTAAATTGAATCGGTCATCTGGGGTGCTCGGAACTGTAACCCCAGCACCCATAATGTTGCTGAGACTGCATCATTTTCAATAAAAATGTTTTGGAAATTCAAATTAAGAACTGCCCAAAACAATTTTTTGCAAGTCTAGCAAACCTTACTTTCTCAGATAAGCAATAAAATTATCATCTTTTCATGATCTTTAGGATTCGTTTTTCATGAAAGTACTTTTCTTCATCCACATTTGTTGGGTACACATGTTTAAGTAATATTTTATTATAATAGTAATGTTTTTACTATTCATCAATATGTAGTGTTTCTAGTGACTAAAGTTTAACTCCAAGCAACTGAAGCCACTAAATATTATAAGTTCAGATTTAATATATATATATATATATATATATATATATATATATTGGTTAGAGTTCCATGGTGGCAATAAAGTATAGTGTTCCTCTGACAATGAAGCACATATATTGCATGAATGGCATGCAATAAATACATAAATATATGATCAGGAATCAGTCACTTCCAAACATATATACCACCCCACGGATAACTGATTTGGTGACTAGAAGAGTCTTATTCATTTATGTCATAACCTTCTTCCTTTTTCTTCTTAGACGCCTCGTGAAGTGGCCCAGCAGGCTGTGGATGCTGATGTCCACTGTGTTGGTGTTAGCACTTTAGCCGCAGGTCACAAAACACTTGTCCCTGAGTTAATCAAAGAGTTAAGTTCTCTGGGGCGCCCTGACGTCCTAGTAATGTGTGGTGGAGTCATCCCACCTCAGGTAAGCTGTTCTAGAATCTATGTTATGGGGGCTACTCTGATGGCTGGATTATAGTCACAATAGTTAAATCTGTATATGTATTGTATGTTTAAACCTTAATACCATTGCTAATAACAGTTTAATAGAGGTGTACTCAAGGAGTATACAAGAAGTTTGGAAATTCTAGAGAAATTATTAAATGATGCATTGCACTTCTGCTAAACCCATAGATTTTAGTCGACTAAAATGTTATGAAATTTTGTTGACTAAAACTAAAGCAATTCAGATGACTAAAATATGACTAAAACTAATCAGCATTTTAGTCAAAAGGCTATGGCTAAAAGTAACATAGCTGTCAAAATATACACTGCTTCTAAATGAAATATATAACTGGAATTGGGTGTGTTCGGATATCTGTAGGAATAACGTTCTTTATATTGTTTGAATAGCTCATCTCAACACCCTCAGTATGTGTTTATCAAACAAAGTATTATTATAGAAACAAAATAAATAAATTGGAAAAGAATAAAAATGCTCCAATTATAGATCGAATTCTAATCTTTCCAGCTACTTTTCAACAAGAAGCATGCTCTGTATTTCACACAAAGCATGTAAACAGCTACAAAAATGCACACAAAGCAGAATACAAATGTAAATATACAGACTTTGTAGAGAATGCTTTTTGCATTCTAATTGTATGTTAAAAGTACAGTCTAAGCACCAAAATCAGACACCATGACCACTTCCGCTGTTACAAGTGGTCATTGAGCAAGAAATCTGAATGCGCAGCAGAATCTATGCTTTCCCGTGGTATTTTTGAGGACCCTGACCATCATCATGCAAAGTGTGAGGACCTCCAGTGTTGTTTTACAGAGTCAAAGTCTGTGAAACAGCAGAAAGCCCCTCTTGTGGCTGTCTGGTAGACAGTCACTAGAGGCAGTCTTGGCACTCTAATGTACACATTGTTTCTCTAAAACTGCAATGTGTAACATTGCAGGGCTAAGGGGGATATAGGCACTACACCCAGACAACTTCAATTAGAAGTGGTCTGATTGCCTATTTTGTCCCTTTAATAGTGTCCTATAGGAAATTCTAGGTTTAAGTAAAATGTTTAAATAAAAGGTTTTTATAAGCCTGGTAATCATACAGTAGGAGAACTAGGCTGCAATAAACAGTCATTCCTAGCATTGGAATGAAGGTAAATTTAAGGCTTATTTTTATTTCATTTTACAAAAAAAACGGCCCTATATATGAACTGATAAAGGAACACAGCAGATTAAAAAGAAAAAAATATTTTATATTAGTTTGTTCCCTTAACGGAACACTCATAACCACTACAACACACTGCACACAGCACCACCCGCATTGTAAGTATTCAAACATTTTAGAACTGTGGCCTCCTACTCAAGGTCTGCCAGAGTGCTGCTCTCTATCTCCACTACTGCTAACAATAGGTATACGTGGACATATAAATGTCATCAATAGTGATGTCCCGAACTGTTCGCGAACGGTTCACCGCGGACTCATCATTGAGTAAACTTTGACCGTGTACCTCACAGTCAGCAGACACATTCCAGCCAATCCGCAGCAGACCCTCCTTCCCAGACCCTCCCACCTCCTGGACAGCATCCATTGTGAAGCTGCATTCTTAGTGAGCCAGGAGGTGGGGGGGTCTGGGAGGGAGGATCTGCTGCTGATTGGCTGGAATGTGTCTGCTGACTGAGGTACAGGGTCAAAGTTTACTAAATGATGAGTCTGCGGCGAACCGTTCGCGAACAGTTCGGGACATCAGTAGTCCTCAATAGTAAATGAGTGCATTCCTGCTGTGAATTTTAGATCTGTCTATATATCTTCCTAATCATTTGCATGTTTTCAACAGGACTATGAATTTCTGTTCAATGCTGGAGTTTCCAGTATCTTTGGACCAGGAACTCGAATCCCCAATGCTGCTGTCCAAGTGATCGATGACATTGAGCGGAATTTAGAAAAAAGGCAACAGTCTATGTGATGTCAAAGCAAATATCATATAACATGGATACTTGTCATAACCTCAGAAGGCACTTACAGGAAACCACACAGGGTCTTATCAAGGAATTTTTTAGAAGAGTGAGATTCAGGCCATTGTTCTTTTGGTACGCAGGTTTTCTTACACAATTTATACATTTGATTGGATGGAGGAAAATTAAATGTAGTGTATTTGTATGAAGATATAAGTAAAAATAAAATAAAACTAATTACTAAATATTGCTTTTGTCAATTAACGGTCACGTTTTAAAAATTATGCTTTCGCTTAATTTTCTTTGTGGACTAATGCAATAATGATGCAATTCTTTTTTTTTTTTTTTGACATTCTTTATTTGTGTGTATTTTTTACAGTAAAGAAACAAGGTTATGAAACAAGGTTACAGGAATAGTAATCAGGCATAAGTATAGCATCAATCAGGCGTTTTAAAGGTATATCAGTTCCGGTGTGGTCTACCTCAGGTTTAGGTTACAGTTTAACATTGCTTAACATCTGTGTATTTTGGGCTAAAGTTGTAGCGTGTAGACCTTAATCGTTCTATGCCATCTCATGTCTTTTGTATATCTGTATATGGTTTTGCATACATTGTTTCAAGATCTATTATGTTCATCCTTCCAACACTGATTTGTGGGTGAGGGCAAACTGGGTATGGGGATTAAACTGGATCGAGATGTCTGTTGGTCGTACGTATAGGGCCTAGGTCTAAGTAAGGCTTATTTGTATGGGTTCTTGGCTTTAAGACTAGGTGGGTGGGTTCGGGTTGCTCTGTACTAGGGTGAATAGTTGTTGCCTATAGTGTGCGTCCCCGTCGTTGGGTGATTGGGTATACGTGTCGGTCTAGCCTCCCTAGATGTGACTGGATATGTGGGTCATGTTGATGTGCAGTCTGTAGGCCGTCGACCTCGTTTGTCTGAGAGGGGCCCTCCTGAGGCAGGGTCATCTTTGTCTCCATCTGTGAGGTGGGTTATAGTCGTGGGGCGTCTGGGCCATCTAGAGAGTGTATTCTACTGCTACCTGGTTGATCTGTCTCTTCCCTGCGGCTATAGTCGAGTCGGTCAAGGGTACTGCACCTGCATAATGTTACCCATTTGTGGTGAATTCCAGTCTGAGGCTGTCCTGTCCCGGGGAGCATGGGGGGGGGAATGAGAGGGGAGGTGGAGCGGGGTCGAAGGGGTTGGAGGAGGGGGGAAAGGGTCTAGGTTGGTGTATAGGTTTAGTCCACCGGTCTGTCCTCCGAGATGCACAAGAGCCAGGGGGTCCAAGTCCGGTCACATTGTTCGGTGCGACTCTGAAGGGCAGCCATCAAGGTTTCCATGGCCCGTATTTCTCCCACCCTATCTACCCACTGTTGGAAAGTGGGGGCGGCTGTCCTCCTCCATAGCGTGGATTTCAGGGATTTCGCTGCCGTCAGTAGATGTTTTGTCAGGGACTTCTTGTATATTTTCAGAGACATATTTGTGTGATGTAGTAGCATGGGTATGGGTTGGAACGGGAGTTCCGGATCCAAGATTTCCCTGATTTTCACGTGTACCATCTCCCAGAAAGGGGCGATGATGGAACAGGACCACCATATGTTGGATCATGGTTCCTCTTTCCTGTCTACAGCACCAGCACGTCTCCTCCTTGTCTGGGTCCATTTGATGTAAGACGTCAGGGGTCCTGTACCAGGTCGTCAGCACCTTAGTTCATCTCCTAAAACTTCGAACTGATTGAGCTCTTGTGTGTGAGCAAGTATATTTTGTCCCACTCTTGTGTGGTCAGGGTCTCTCCCGTTTCTCGCTCCCATCTGGCGATGAATTTCGGTGTTGGTCTGTTTTCTCCCTCCAGTAGCATCGCGTATAGTGTCAATATCCCTCTCGCCATGTGTTGCCTAGCCACGCGAATTTTCTCGAAGCCTGTAAGGTCCCGGTGGTATTGGTGTTTAGCTGCCGTGGTAGAATAGTAGGACTTGACTTGGAAGTAGTGGAACCGGTCTATGCCTGTTGAGCTGGCGTCGGGGAGCAAGTCTGCCAGGGTTTTTATGGTGCCGTTGGCACACCATTGGCGCATGTATATCCAGTCCGATCGGGCAAAGTTTTGCATGTCTTCTGGCTTCAGTCCGTCTCCTATATCTGGGTTATAGACTATGGGCGTGAGTGGGCTGGTGTGAGTGGTTAGTTGCTTTTGTAGCGTAGTGAGCACCATGTCTTCAAGGTGGCATCTATTATGGGGTTACCTGTGGAGAGCGAGTTGGGTGGCGCCCCCGACCTCCATAGCATCGCGGGTATCTGCCCACCGGCCTGTGTGATTTCGGCCTGCACCCAGAGTTTCTCTGTCGGTTGGACATGCCAATCTGTCACCCTCAGGAGGTGAGTTGCTCGGTAGTAGCTTAGGAATGAGGGTAGCCCCATTCCACCTCGCTGCTTGGGTTGTTCCAGTTGTTGTTTGCTAACCCGTGGGGCTCCCTTCCTCCACACGAATTTCCATATGGTTGAGGTGATGGATTGGAAGAATGCCTTCGGTAGATTGATCGGTATCATCTGGAAGAAATATAGGAGGCGCGGAAGGACGTTCATCTTTATTGCATTGATGCGCCCGAACCATGAAATGTTTAGGTCCGACCATTTTTGCATGTCCTTCTGCAGGGAGGTGAGGATGGGAAGGAAGTTTGCCTGGTAGAGTTGCGCCAGCTCCCTGGTCAGCCAGATGCCAAGATACTTGAATTTGGCGTTACACCTCTTGAACTGGAAGTGGAATCGTAGGTGCGTGTCTCGTGGGAATCGAGATATTGAGGATTTCCGACTTTTCCGCGTTAAGCTTTAGGTTTGACACCCTTCCATACTTTCGGAAGAGATCGAGGAGGTTCGGGATGGTAATCAGTGGCTTTTCAATGAAGAATAGCATGTCGTCGGCATATGTCATGACTCGATGTTCAGTGTTCCCCAGGGTGTGTCCAGATATCCCCCCATCTGTCCTGACCGCCTCCAGGAACGGCTCCAGCGAAAGGGCGAACAGTAGGAGTGAGAGGGGACACCCCTGCCTAGTACCGTTCAGTATTGGAAAGGAGTCGGATAGGGCGCCGTTGAGTCGAATTTGCACCGATGGTGACGTGTACAGGGCGGCGATCCAGGTTCGTACGTTAGGTCCAAAACCCATGTGTTGTAGCGTGGCCATGAGGTATGACTAGTCCACCCAGTCAAAGGCCTCCTCCGCGTCTGTGGATAGGAGGGCCAGTCCTCCTCCCTGCCTCTGGGCCGAGTGGATGACGTTGAGGGTCCTGATGGTATTGTCCCGTGCCTCTCTGCCCGGCACGAAACCCACTTGATCCTGGGTGGACCAGGTCGGGCAGCACTCTCGAGACGCGGAGGGCCATGGCTTTTGCAAACAGTTTAAGATCTGCGTTGAGGAGGGAGATTGGGCGGTAGCTTGCGCAGCAGGCCGGATCTTTCCCTTCTTTCGGTAGGACTGTTACTATGGCTCTGAGCGAGTCTACCGGCAACTGTTGTCCATCCAGTATCGAGTTCAGTCCTTTTAGTAGGTGTGGGAGCAGAATGTCTTTAAAGGTGCGCAGATAACTTGCCGGGTAGCCGTCCGGTCCCGGCGCCTTGTGTGGTTTGGTTAGCTTAAGTGCCGCAGACAGTTCTTCCATGGTCAGGGGTTGTTCAAGTCTCCCGCTTTCTCCAGGGTAAGCTTTCGGGCGATGTTCCTGTTGAGGAAGTCTACAAGTTTGCGTCTGTGTTGCGTCGGGGTGAGTGTGCTAGGCGTGTCGGACAGATTATAGAGGCCGGTGTAGTAGTCCCTGAACGCCTGCATGATCTCAGCTGGGAGTCGAGTTTCTTTCCGGGATTTGGTGTTAATTTTATGGATGTGGTTAATTCTCCATCGTTGTTGTAGGGTCCGGGCTAGTAGCCTTCCACATTTGTTCGAGTGTTCATAAAAGTATCGATTGGATCTGCGGACCAAGTTAAGCAGCTTCTGAGAGAACAGGTCCCTAAGTTTCCTCCATGTGTCGGTCAGTTGAAGGAATACGTCGTCTGACAGCTCCCGTTTGTGCGTGTTTTCTAAGTCAGATATTCGTTTGGTTAGGTCCAGTACGAGTTTGGCGTTCTCGCGTTTGCGCTGCGTGCAATGGCTAATAAAGTGTCCTCTGATGACGCATTTGTGCGCCTCCCAGGTTATCAGCGAGGACACATTGGGTGTGGTGTTGGCTTCGAAGTACTGAGTGAGGACCTGTGTGGTCAGTGTGACGCATTCGACGTCGGTTAGAGTCGACTCATTAAGCTTCCATTGGCGCTCATTTGGTTTAAAAAGGGGAGATTTGATGTGGATGGTTACAGAGGCATGGTCGGAGTCCCCGTGGATCCCTATATCTGCGGATATGAGCAAGGGCAGGTATTCTTGTGCTACGAAAATATAGTTGATCCTGCTGTATTGATTGTGTGCGGCTGAGTAGCAGGTATAGTCCCTGCCGTCTGGGTGTGCCGCCTGCCTGCTGTTGACCAATCCCAGTCTGTTCAGCGATTGTTTGGCCTTGCATATGCAGTGGTCGGGAATGGTGCTGGAGCCTCGCGAGGAGTCAATTCGTGGATCCAGGGGCAAGTTAATAATGCAATTCTTGATACCTGGTCATATATCTTAGACTTATTGATACTTTTCCTGTATAACTATTATTGCAGTTAATGTAAAATGATTGAACATGTCTGATTTTTAAAGATATGGTATACTATTTGTAACTACAAAACCATTATTTATTTATTTTTTATTAGGGTTCTGTAAATGTGTCTTTCATGAGTTTAAAGGAACATTTCAAGCACCATAAAAACTACAACCCACTGTAATGGTCATGGTGCTAGGTGTGCCCTTGCACCCTTCCAGGAAAAAAATGACAACATACTTGTTCCTGGGCTCAAGTCCTGCAGGAACCCACACCTTAAAACATATATAACACAAAAGCATAAGGTGGAGTTAATTAAACTTCCCTCTCTTCTTAATACAGCCAACAATGCTGAAACAGAAAATAGATATATACAATAGTGCAGATTATCCTTATTACAGCATACACATATTAGGATCTCAGTAAAGCACACTCACAGAAATTGAGCCATATACAGAACCTGGCTCTGGTGTGTATTTCCTTAGGATCCTTTTTGGGAGATCCAAGCCCAACTTTAGATGGTATAAGAGTGATCCAATATCCTCCCAAGAATAAGTAACAGGAATTAGGAAAAGGTGAACAAATTTATTGATATAAATAAAACAAAAAAAATTTAGCATAAAATGTGAGTGCAATAATCACAAAGATGCGTTTCGCCACGTATGTCTTCTTCAGTTGGTGCATACGATATTGCTGGGTCCTTGTGGTTTCTTTAATATGTCTCTTATTCCATTTTTGCGGTCTTTTATACTTGATGAAACCCAACGTATCCCTCCTGTTTACGCATGTCACGTCCCGTCACGTGAGCTGACCCGTGGAACGCAATCTGCATTTCACACCTCTCTCTGGCAGGATATGTATGTATATGGGCGTAAGACTGTGCGTAGTGGAACGCAGCATGCATCATGGAAATCTTTATTCTACATACCAAAATCCATACTAGCAATCATTTTAAAAATGTAGATGCCAATAGTTAAATCGAGAAAAATAGCTGTCACTACACCCCATGGTTGACAAATGCTCCAAAAAGCCAATTCTTAAGGATTAGGAGGAATTGCACGCAAAATGCAGATTATAAAATACAATCAGAAAAAATTAGACATCAATTCATAGAAAAGGGTTATGATGCAACGGAATTACAAAGTTGCATGGAGAATATTGCAAAAACCCAAAGAAAAGATCTTGTGTGCTATAAAGGATAATAATCGAAGAAAAGACTCAAAGGCTGTAACACAGTTGAAATACCCTGTTTCTGTAAACATAGTGAGAGCAATAAAAAAGTTAATAAAATAATTAAAAAATACTGGCCGATTTTAAAAGAAGATCCAGTTTTGAAACAAATGCTACCTCCCAATCCCAAATTAGTCTATAGCGGATGCAGAAATATGAAGCATATGTTAGTTAAAAGCAATTTTAAAACTAAACCAACCGATCACTTTTTAACCCCTTAAGGACCGAGGACGGTTCAGGACCGTCATCTGCATTTTTGCATTGCCGACCGGTGACGGTCCTGAACCGTCCTAACGGTCTTATTTACTTACAAGATCGCCGTCGTTCCCCCGGCGGCGAACGGCGGTGCTCCCGGTGTGCGGAGACTGCCTGCATCCCAGACAGTCTCCCCACAGCGGATTAGGACCCCTGGGGCCATGTGATCGCTTAACAGAGTGATCACATGGTCACAATAGGTGTCCATGTGTCTGCCCGCAGGGGGACTGCCTGTGCTGACAGGCAGTCTCCCTGCTAGTGTAAAATCATTAAAAATAAAATAAAGTTAATGTTAATTTAAAAAAAAATGTATGTATGTGTATATAAATATAATCTATAGACATTTATTATATCTATATAATATATGTCTATATATCATATATATATAATGTCATACTAAGTGTATTTTTATATTAATATGTAAATATATTAATATAAAAATACACTTATAATTAAATTACACACGTATATATATAATATATATAATAACTATATATATTGTATATAAATATTATTATAAAATACAAATAATAGGTAATTTAAATTAAATTAAAAAATGTAAAAATAATAATAACAATGTTTTAAAAAATTATATATCTATATGAAATTTTATTTTTCACCTCTGGGGCTTTTTCAAAAATAGACTCTCTTTTATCATTTTTGAAAAAGCCCCAGAGGTGAAACGCGTTAAATGGTTTTAAATTGTGTATTTTAACAATACAAAGTTTTATTTGGTATCCTTTTGTTATAGGACCAATTTTTATTTTATTGTATATACACTTTCTTTTATTTATTTATTTTTCCTGGCATTCTACTATATCCTGTTCAAGCAATCCATAGGTGGGGATTATTCCACCAGAGCTGTACCTATAGAGCAGTACTTTCTGCTCTATCATTGTGAGTATATTTTATTTTATACCCTTTTCATTTTATCTTTTCCAATTGAGAGCACTATTATTATTTTTATATATTTTACGGACAACTACGGAAATCCAGTTGGACGGACAGATCTGCTGCCACAGTATATCCTCTAGCGGGGATTATACCGCTAAGTGCCCTTCATCCATGAGCTGGTCCAAAGCTCCATCAAATGTGAGTGTATTATCCTCCATTTTTACTTTACTTACTCCTTAAGTTATAAAACTACACCATTGGAAGTTTGTTGTGCTTTTATCTTCAAATATACGGACCACCTACAACCCGGACGGATCTACTCCTGATGATTGTATATCCGCCCTGTCCATATATCAGTGAGACGATTTTATGCATTTTATTGGACATTTTATTATTGGATTTCTACTATTGCATGGACTTTGTTTTATTATCTACTTCTGCATGGACTCTGTTTTAACCAGCAAGCACTTTATATAGTTTACTCTCTACAATATACGTATAGCGCAGCCCTTCCCCCCTTTCTTTTCTCTGCTGTTATTTTATTAAGGGTTTTTGAGGGATTCCCTTTTAGGGTTGCAGCTTACATATATTTTTGTTACTTAGCACAGAATCCTCTTCCCTTTTTTCCAAAGAATTTGAGGGAACTGCCTGCCAACCCAGGCCGAAAGTCCAGAGAATTTAATTTGCTAGAACTGTATTTTACCCTGTAACGTTCTACGACACCCTAAAACCTGTACATGGGGGATACTGTTTTACTCGGGAGACTTCGCTGAACACAAATATTAGTGATTCAAAACAGTAAAACATATCACAGTGATGATATTGTCAGTGAAAGTGACTTTTTTTGCATTTTTCACACACAAACCGCACTTTTACTGATGATATAATTGTTGTGATACGTTTTCCAGTTTTGAAATACTAATATTTGTGTTCAGCAAAGTCTCCTGAGTATAACAGTACCCCCCATGTACAGGTTTTATAGCGTTTTTGAAAGTTACAGGGTCAAATATATGGGTCAAATATTTTTACATTGAAAATGGCCCAGTTGGTTACGTTGCCTTTGAAAGCGTATGGTAGCCCAGGAATGAGAATTACCCCCATGATTGCATACCCCCAGAAGACAACCCAAGGTATTGCAAATGGGGTATGTCCAGTCTTTTTTAGTAGCCACTTAGTCACAAACACTGGCCAAAATTAGCGTTCAATTTAGTTTTTTACTTTTTTCACACACAAACAAATATGAACACTAACTTTGGCCAGTGTTTGCGACTAAGTGGCTACTAAAAAAGTCTGGACATACCCCATATTGAATACCCTGGGTTGTCTACTTTAAAAAAAATATGTACATGTGGGGTGTTATTCAGAGATTTATGACAGATAATAGTGTTACAATGTCACTATTGATAAATTTTAAAAATGTATGTTTTGAAACCGCAATATCCTACTTGTACTTATAGCCCTATAACATGCAAAAAAATGGCAAAAAAGCATGTAAACACAGGGTATTTTTAAACTCAGGACAAAATTTTGAATCTATTTAGCAGTTTTTTTCATTCGCTTTTGTAGATGAGTAAAAGATTTTTCACGTAAAAGTAAAAAAACATGTATTTTTTTCAATTTTTCATCATATTTTTTCATTTTTTTTAAATTAAATTACATGAGATTATATAAATAATGGTATGTAAAGAAAGCCCCTTTTGTCCCGAAAAAAACAATATATAATTTGTATGGGAACAGTAAATGAAAGAGCAGAAAATTACAGCTAAAAACACAAACACCACAAAAGTGTAAAAAGATGCCTGGTAGCAAATGTACAACATCGCAAAAACAGTCTGGTCCTTAAGGGGTTAAATAAAAGCAAAGGATTATATGGATGTGGATCTTGTCTAGCCTGTAGAGAGATGAATAATAAAAAAAGGGCATATAACTTCCTTCAAATATCTGGAAGATAAAGAATTCAACAACAAAGACCAACTCACCTGTTTTTCTAAAAATGTTATTTAAATTTCAAAATGTTCCAGCAATTTGATTTATGTAGGAAGAACTACCAGATGTCTGCACATCCGAATTGCAGAACATATAAGAAATGTGAAAAGAGGTTTAGAAACACATAGCGTTTCGAATCACTTTAAAACCTGCCAAAATAATAACCCAAGAGATCTCTTTTTTTGGGCCATCAAATTGGTTGAGAAAGACTGGAGAGGAGGAGATTTTAATAAGAAAATAGGTGAGGAAGCGATGAAATGTATTTTTAATTTTAAAACAATTATTCCCCATGGTTTTAAACAGGATTTTGAATTGTGTCATTTTCTATTTTAATTCCTTTTTATTTTTAATGATAAGGTCTTGTATTTTTTATTTTTTTTATTCTTAATTTTTTCGTGCTTAGGATATAACAAGCATGCTAGTAGCGCCACAACAGCGGGTACCAGTTAAAGAAACAATGTATCATAAACATTTTCGTGGCAATCAGTTAAAGCACTAACATTTTTGTTGTTTAGAAGAGCTTTGATAACATTTTAAATTGCAATAGAGTGCACCAGCTTGTTACAAGCAATACAGTGGCTGTCGGTGCGGTAATGATGATTTCTGCATGTCTCACCCGTCAGTCCGCAGCAATGCAGTATTGTATGTGTGACTAGCCTGCTGGTTTACAGGTAGTGTTTGCGTGTGGTCAGGTGTATGCGTTGGGCCCAGGATTGGGTTTACCGGGACTAAAACGCTTCTGTCTTGTGTGTCAGGTGTATTAGCGTGAGATCGCATGTGTTTGGTAAAGCGTTGATTGCCTCCCGTGTCTAAGTCGTGAAACGGTCCGGTCGGTGAGGCCCCCGAGTGTGGGGGGGGGGGAAATGTCGTATAGGTGTCATGTCTGCCTCGTTCAGTTGTCAGGAGTGGGGAGAGTTAAGGGAGCATCGCATTGGTGGAAAACCAGGTGTAACTAAGGCAGGATAAACAACATTAAATATTAAACAGAGTCCCATAGAGAGAGTTGGGCAGGTTCTGTTTCAGGTCGTTGTTGCTGCAGCTTGGTCTGGTCGGTGCCCCTGCGCATAGAACGGGGCAGCTGTTGCCCGGTTCCACTTGTGTGGGTGCTGGGAGGCGTTAGTGGGGTTCCTGTTGCCCAGGCAGGCCTAAGACCTGTAAGAGTGTGGCCGAGTCGTGAATGTCCTGGATTGTGTGCGCGGATTCTCCCTGGGATACTATGAGGGTGCGTGACATGCGCCAGCGGTAAGGAATGTTCTGTTGTTGCAGGAGTGCGGTAAGTGGCCTCAAAGATCTCCGCCAGGCAAGCGTGCTGTTCGAGAGGTCCTGGTAAATGGCTAGCGCCATGCCTTCAAATTGGAATTGGGGTGTTCCCCTGAGGGCTTGGAGGACCGCTGCTTTATCGGTCCCAGACCGGAATTGTACCATCAGGTCCCGTGGGACACCAGTTGGTGCCTTGGTCGGCTTGGGGATGCGGAAGAGGCCATCCAGTGTGACAGCTTTAGCTTGACTCAGTAACAGCAGGGCGCTCAGTAATCTTCTTAGTAAGTGTGGCAGTTCAGTTATGTCCTCTTTGATCCCTCGTTGGTCATCTTCCTGTGCCGCGAAACGGCGGTCGTACAGTTGATTTTAGGTCTCTAATCATGCACTGTGTGCCTGCTTGTGTGGCCTCCTCAAGAGCTCCAATACGGCCCGTCAGGCCTTGCAAGCCTCCGCGGATCGTGGCTATGTCCGCCTGGAGGGTGGTTTTCAAGTCTGCCAGGAGCTCCTTGAGGACAGCAGTGGTGACTGGGGCTGTGTCCAGTGTCGCTGGACCTGTCTTCGGCCTCGAGGTGGCAGGTATGCAGTCTTCTTCCTCATCCAAGGAGTGCCCGTCTGAGAAATCCGAGCATCCTCCCGAGATAGCGACCATTTTAGGTCCGTCTGCGCCCTGCGCCTGCCGCCACATTTCTCCGATATTTAGCCTCATGATCGGTCTATCTGGCTTGTTTTTTTTTAGATTTTCGCCCCATGCTGTTTGGACGGACTGGTGGTGGTCTCCAGGTCCCCTTAGCAGGCGATAATTGTGTCGTAAAGTGTGTTTTCTACAGCTTGAGGCCCGGAGCTCCAGGGACATGCGACCGGTTGCTTCAAAGGCTAAGCTCCTCCCTCCGATAAGGTCTTGTATTTTATTAATCCATTGATTCTAATTAATTATTTTCACACTGTAATTATATCAAATCTTCACAAATACACGGTTTCACTTTTTTGGTATATGAATGATGGTGGTACTGTCAGATTATTTCCCTTTTTAAATATTGAAATAAAGAAACATGGAATGTGACGACAGAGAAGAACCATTCAGCCCATTTAGTCTGCCAGATTTTCTAAGTACTTTCATTATCTTATAGCTAGGATAGCCTTATGCCTATCCCACGCATGCTTAAACTTCTTTACTGTCTTAACCTCTACCACTTCAGCTGGAAGCCTATTCCATGCATCCACTACCCTCTCAGTAAAGTTATACTTCCTGTTATTATTTTTAAACCTTTTTCCCTCTAATTTAAGATTATGTACTCTTGTTGTGGTAGTTTTTCTTCTTTTAACCCCTTAAGGACACATGACATGTCTGACATGTCATGATTCCCTTTTATTCCAGAAGTTTGGTCCTTAAGCGGTTAAATATAGTCTCCTCCTTTACTGTGTTGATTCCCATTATGTATTTAAATGTTTCTATCATATCCCCCCTGTCTCGTCTTTCCTCCAAGCTATACATGTTAAGTTCCTTTAAAGGATCACTATAGGGTCAGGAACACAAACATGTATTCCTGACCCTATAGTGTCTAACCCACCATTTAGGTGGCTTGCCCTCCCTTAGCCCCCCTATAAAAGTTTAAAACTCACCTGCCTCTGCCCCCTTTGAGACATCATCGAAATGGGTGATTTTTAGCTAATCCAATGTTTTGGCCAATAAGGACCTCCTCATAGAGATGCATTGAATCAGTGCATCTCTATAAGGAAAATTCAGCATCTCCATGCAGAGCGTGGGGATGCTGAATGGCAGGGCTGCTTACTGCGCAGCCCGGAGCCAGGAAACTCCTCCAGTAGCCATCTAAGGAGTGGCCACATGGAGTTGTCCCTAGGGGCAATGTAAACACTGTCTTTTATCTGAAAAAAGCCTGAAGGGAGCTATTATACTCACCAGAACAACTCCATTAAGCTGTAGTTGTTCTGGTGACTATAGTGTCCATTTAACCTTTCCTTGCCTTATCCTGCAATCCATGAACCAGTTTAGTAGCCCTTCTCTGAACTCTAAGATATCAATATCCTTCTGAAGATACGGTCTCCAGTACTGCGTACAATACTCCAAGTGAGGTCTCACCAGTGTTCTGTACAATGGCATGAGCACTTCCCTCTTTCTACTGCGAAGACCTCTCCCTATACAACCAAGCATTCTGCTAGCATTTCCTGCTGCTCTATTACATTGTCTGCCTACCTTTAAGTCATCAGAAATAATCACCCCTAAATCCCTTTCCTCAGTTGATCCCTGTATCTTTAAATTAAGTTAACACTTCAAAAAATCATTTCTCTTTTTTTCCACATTGCTGCTAAAAAGATATATTATTCCATCATTACATCAGAGATATGCAATAAATGGTGGTGAGATCACTCAATAAAATGTAGAAATGTTACCACAAATGGGATAAAATAATAGATAGGGGCGCGTGGCTTGGCGCCGAACAGGAATGGCCGCCTAATTCCCGAGCTCCGCTCCAGGCTGCAAACAAGCACATCTCACAAGCACAACCTGGCACCCATGGGACGCACCAAGAGAGCCCAGATGACCCCCTCCACGCCGAGAACACAGGGGAACAGTTTGCACCCCTCCATCCGCAGCTACTTACACACGCCAGGAGACTTCCTCTCCCAGGAGGAAGCCTCCAATATGGCGCCCTCCTCCCCGAGCTCCACGCTATCAGAGGAGTACCCGAGCACCGAAAGCGGCCAGCCGGCCCCACAGACGCCAGACTGGTACACACTGTTTACATCCCTGCCGAAAAAGGAGGACTTCCAGTCACTGCTAGATGAGGTAAAAGCCACACTACACACAGAGATCTCAGCCCTGGGCACCTCACTCACAGCGCTTGAGACAAGAGTACAGGCCCTAGAGTCACAGGGCCCCAACTCACACTGCCCTGCTTTACAAGCCACAGAGGCCCACTCCAGGCACATACAAGATCTGCGCCTCCACATAGAGGATCTCGATAACCGCAGCCGCAGACATAACATCAGGGTAAGGGGCTGCAGAGAATCTGACACACCAGAGGATGCCAGGGCCACGCTGACCCCTATTTTTAACCGCATACTGGGCAGGCCCAGGGACGCCCGCATCCACATGGACAGGGCACTGAGACCCAAGCCCCCCCAGGTGCTCCCCCCAGGGATTTAATTTGCCACATACAAGACTTCCAACTAAAGGAAGAAATTATGAGAAAAGCACGCACAGAAAGAACCTGGAGAATTGAGGGACAGGCTATAGAGCTTTACAATGACCTATCCCACCTCACCCTGCAGGCCCGAAGAGCCTTGCGGCCCCTCACCGCCGCCCTGCAAGAAGCCCAAATCCGCTACAGATGGCAGTTCCCTTTTGCCCTCTCAGCCAGACAGGGCACCACGGAAGCCGTAATCCGAACACCGCAAGATGTACTGGCCTTCCAGGAGGCTCTAAACCTCCCCCGCACTCCTATTCCGGACTGGACTGCATGCCTGCTTAATGAACGCCTCACAGGGAGCCAACACAACGTACCATCCAACAGGGGCCATGACAGAGACGCCCCGCGCACCCATCACCGACTAATTGACCCAGAGGAATAGAGAGATGGAGACACCACCACCTGCCTACCCCCGCCACCCACCCTGCAACACCAGCCTGAACACGATTATGCAACGCTGTCATAACCACGCTGTGGGGGGTGGTGTGTTTTTTTTTTTTTTGTTGTTTTTCCTCTCACCCTGCAACCAGGAAAGCAAAGGGAGAAAGCGGTTGCAACCCACAACACCAAGAACGGACATCCACCCACATCTTACCGACCCAAAGACCTGGAACCACCTTGCTTCATCAGCTAACTAAGTCAACATCTATTGCCCCCTGAGTCCATGACTTGCTCAACGCCACCGACACCACTGCCACCTCAACAGAGACATCCCCAAAGGACCCGCCAGTGCACCCATACCTTGGCCAGCTCCACATAAGATTCCCTTGCCTTACAATGCGAGACACAGACCCCCACCCGCCATGCCCCAATCCCCCTATGGAGACGACTGCTGGTACGAAGCCTTGAACTGACACCCCGGCATCACCCTGGACTGCTTGCGAAGGCTTCCAACACCGTAGAACGAATCGCAAGAGCAAGTATACCATTGGGGCTCGCAGTCCTTACACACCTGTACACTACCATCCACCCACAAACACACATACACACACACACACATCCACTACGACTAGAAGGGAACTCCCCAAATACATTCAAGATGAACCCAGACACCCTCACTACCTACCCAAACCGCAGCCTTACACACAGACCATACCTGCAACACAGGCAACCCGACATCACACACACCTCTGAGACCACACCCCAGACACCATGAGAAGGTGGGGACACACCACTCACCAACCACTGAATACCGCAGGATGAATGCTTAGTGTTCCTCAAACAGACTTACAGTTGTGAACACCCCAATTACAGCTGAGAGCAACTTTGCCTCGCCCCCTGGGAGTGCCCGAGGGGCTCCCACGGGGCGACGGCGGCACCTACACTCACTGGTTCCAACAAAATGTATTGTTTTCTACCAATAATTGTTCGCTGACTTCACTAAATACCCCCCACCCTCCCCCACCCTTTTTTTTCCCCACCCTTTTTTTTTTTTTCTTTTCTTTTTTCTTTCTTCCTCTCTCTCCCTTCTGTACCCCCTAACTTTCGGTCCCCCTCCTCCTATCTTGCTATATGAAAGATGTGGGGTGGAAGCGCACCACAGGACGCAAACCTCATTTTATCTTATGAGGGGCCCCCTGTGCTGTGTGAACATGCTCAAACTATCTCTAACTGTTCATAAAAGTTTCTGATGTTCTCCCTGATACTGGGGACATAACCTGTGTAACCATGTTTTGATATGCTGTTACTATGTTGTTCTCTCGAATTCTGTTCTTATGTTATTATGCACGCTCCCGACACAACTACGTAATGAACGATAACAGGATAGCGCCACGGGGCGACCATCATGGCCACTCACCTCATCGTAAACTGACCCGCTAGAACGGTGCTTCCCCTCTGGATGCCAGACACCACCACTACTGGGCAGCAGGAGACGGATGCTGACAGAAAGTGATCCGTCACCAAACGACACCCCAAAGTAGGTGACCTACCTAACCATCGATGCCACCTGCCCCACGGGTTTACTGCCAAGAGACTGTGAGGTGGCCACGAGGGACATGGTCCCCGGACACCCACCTACCAGTGGCATATTACCCCTCACAACAGTCGCCTCTGCGACTCGACAAAACCGCCACACACCACACCACTTGAGCTACCCCCCCAAGCCCGTCTAACCTCCCCTTCCATCCCCCCCTCCTCTTCCCTCTATCCTCCCCCTCTCCACACCCCCCTACCCCGCTACCCGGATACGATGGGCCCACCGCCCCCCACGCCTCCGGATGCGCGGGGACAGGAATTAACCTCTACACGATCAACGCGAAGGGCCTGAACTCCCCACAAAAACGAGCAAGAGCGCTGCGAGAAATCGTACAATGAACCCTCGTTCATTGTACAACCAATCAAAAATGGTTTAACACTGAAAAGCACACTGACATCAGGGTATTCCAGGTTTAAATTAGATAAAGCGGTTGTGGTGTCCTTAAAATATTGGTCCCTCTAAATATTGGTTGCATCTTTTTTTTTACCAACATCATCCCCAGCCACCCTCCTGCGACGAAATGGTAAGGCTGAAAATGAGGTGTGTGTGTATATATGTATGTGAGTATGTGTATGCCAGTGTATGTATGTATTCCAGTGTATGTATGCATGCCAGTGTATGTATACCAGTGTATGTATGTATGTATGCCAGTGTATGTATGCATACCAGTGTGTGTATCTGTATGTCTGCCAGTGTGTCTGTATGTATGTATGCCAGTGTATGTATGTATACCAGTGTGTGTGTATGTATGCCTGTGTATGTATACCAGTGTATGTATGTATGCCAGTGTGTGTGTGTGTATGTATGTATACCAGTGTGTGTCTGTATGTATTAATGCCAGTATGTGTATGTATGAATGCCTGTATGTATGTATGCATATATGTATATACAGTGGTGTATCCTGGTTTTGTGCTGCCCTAGGCAGGACAAAACTCAGGCACCCCCCTCCCCCCCGCGCCACCCCCACCCAACCCTTCCTCCCGCCCCACCTTCTAAATACACACACAGTCAGACACATACACAAACACACACACACACACACAGTCAGACACAAACACACACACACAGTCAGACACATACACAAACACACACACACACACAGTCAGACACATACACAAACACACACACACAGTCAGACACATACACAGACACAAACAGTCAGACACAAACACACACACATACACAGTCAGACACACACACACATACACAGTCAGACACACACACACATACACAGTCAGACACAAACACACACACAGTCAGACACACACAGTCAGACACAAACACACACACAAACACACACAGACACACACACAGTCAGACACATACACAGACACAAACAGTCAGTCAACACACACACAGTCAGACACAAACACACACACAGTCAGACACAAACACACACATTAAATTTTTTTTTAATTTAAATCCCCCCCCCCAACCTCCTTACCTTTGGGAGTGCTGGGGGGGGGGTCTCTCTCCCTGGTGGTCCAGTGGCTGCAGGTGGGCGGCCGGCGAGGGAGCACTTCCCATGAGCTGACTGCTCAGCTCCCTCGCGCGTCGGCTGCAGAGTGAGGCTGGGAACCGGAAGATGACGTCATCTTCCGGCTCCCAGCCTCACTCTGCGGCGCGCGAGGGAGCTGAGCACTCAGCTCATGGGAAGAGCTCCCTCGCCGGCCGCCCGCCTGCCAGTGCCGCCCGCCCGCTCGGGATGTCAGTTAGCCGCGAGGCTAACAAGGCATCTGCCCTGGGCATTTGGGGGGCGGCGTTTTTTGACGCCCCCTGAAAAATGCCGCCCAAGGCAAATGCCTTGTTTGCCTCGCGGCTAATACGTCCCTGTGTATATATCAGTATGCAGTATGTGTATATATGTTTGTCAGTATGTATGTCTGCATGTGTATATGTGTGTGTGTCAGTATCTCCCTATGCATGTGTGTATGTCTGTTTCAGTATTTGTATCTGTTAGTGTGTGTGTATTCCTTTGGGCAGGATTTGGAGGCGGGCTCTGTGGGCGGGCTTGAAGGGGGGCCCAGACCTTGAGCTGTGTTAGGGGCCCCAAAATTTCTGATGGTGGCCCTGTGTATGCTGTAATAAGGATAATCTGCACTATTGTATATCCCTCTTTTTATGTTTCAGCATTGTTGGCTGTATTAAGAGAGGGAAGTATTATTAGCTCCACCTTATGCTTTTGTGTTATAGAAGATTTCTTTAAGTCTGTGTTTGTGTGGGGCAGTCTATGAGTGTATGGATGGGTCAGTGTATTGGTGTGTCAGTGTATGGGTGTGTGTGTGTGTGTGTGTATGGATCAGTTTTTTGTGTAAATTGGTCAGTCTGTGTGCTTCTCGGTCAATCTGGGTGTATATGAGACGGCCTGGCAGTATATGGTACTGTCTTGGTGTGTATGGATGGATCTTTCTGGGTGTTTTTGGATGGATGAATCAGTGGTAACACATAGCAACACTCTGACACTAAGTGTAAGTGCTGGAGCTACAAGAGAGATACCTATCATGTCATGACCTTCCCTGCACCCAGTCAATATTCACCCCTCTGAACCACCAGGGATCCGAATGATCCACTCACTACAGCCCCTGTCCGAACACACAAAATATCTACAGCCCGTACACATGTGCACGCGCACACACACTACAACCCCTATCTACACATAGTATACCACAAACAGACCCCTTTACACACACACAACCCTTTTACACACACAAACACTTCATCACAAACAGCCCCTTCTACAAACACACCAGCCATTTCCAATTTGTTCTTTGGTATCCCACTTGTGAATCACCCTTCCTGTATTCGGTACGTTTCCTCCCTGCTACTTTGTTTGTGGAATCCACTATCTTTTATTGTGGGTTGTTCGGTACTTTTATTTGTTAGAATCCCTTGTTTGGTAAAATAGCTATTTTACCGAACAAAGGACCACCCTGGGTAGCAATTAGATCTTAGAATCCTGTGTTATTACATGAAACCGCAAGCTGATTGAGTGCTCCTGGATGGCCGCCATTTCCAGATACGAACACGTGTCGAGAACAATGCTTGGCCATCTTAAACTCCCGAGCATCGAGCACCTGTAACTATTTTTAGTATGGCTCTCCAGCAATCCTCGGTCCCCCATGGAATTCCCGCCTGACCCATCTCCATGAATGGATTTAGGGAGTTTCAATTCAATGCATCTCTATGAGGAGATGTTCATGTTGTGCCAATCATCAAGATTGTTATTCTCAGCTATGAAGCCGGAGCGAGTTGGGGAAGAAAAGGTGAGTAACATCGCCTTATTACCAAAGAGAGGGTCCTTGGACTTAAATATACCACTGTCAAAAATACATGTTTGTGTTCCTGAGACAATAGTGCTCTGCCATACTAACTCTAAACCACTACAGAAATGCAAACAGTTAGATGTACTTGTAAGATAAACATGTTAGACTTTGGCTGAAAATATGAGCATTCATTCCAATTGCCAGTTTTATACAGGACTCTGGGGCACTGCATTGGTTTTAAGCATACATACACGCACAGTAATTTACTAAATTGGGGGATTTAAATTTTTAGCCAAAGCTCCCTGGACATTTCACAATTTAGTAAATAACCCTGTTAGTAATTTAGATCCACAGTGTGAGACCCACATTAACCAGATCTTAAACAGTAGATTATCTTCAAAAATGTTTATTTTTACACCAAGTTGATCCAAATTTCTCATATTTATTAATAGTTTTTTTCTGCTTTCGCTTTGTACCCAATATTCAATTATTTAATTCAGTTCCATTAGCCCGAAGTTTATATTCCATGTCATATAAATATATGTGTGTCTTCCTTTGTTGTCCACAATAGTTGCTAGTGAAACATCTAATTTGGTAATAAATGTGTTGGGTATGGGACATGTGAAAAGTACTGTGGGGTTTTTCACTAAACACTGGTTGACAAAATCTAGTCCAAAAGAGAAGAGGACATAAATATCAATCTAACCCATGATGAAGATTTATTACCAAGTCCATTCTTTTGAAATCAATGTTGCACTTCAATGGTCAGCTCACCATCACAGACGTTTTAGTGAATACGCCCCATTGTGTTAATTTCTGTGTGATTTAATTGTAAAACTGGTTTCATTGTCCTACTCCGTTTGAGGGAAACCCCCTAGTTATTTTAAAAATAGATGAAATCTGGATGTGGTCTCTGCCTGTCCAGATAACAGACACAGCTGGGTTTTCTCCTGAGTTTTCATTCTGTATCCTCCATCCACAACAGCATTTAAGTTGCTTAACTTTTTGTCTGAATGATTTGCTGAAAATATAATAGATTATGGGGTTAAAGGCAGTGGAGGACTTGGCAAAAAGGCAGGGGAGTAGGGTTAATACCGGTGGAATGTAGTTGCTGGAATGAAACATTGACCAAAAGCTCACAGCTGCATAGGGAGCCCACGAGAAGAGGAAACCGGAACTCACAAGTACTGCCATCTAAAAGAAAAAAAGTGAAAAAAAATAAATAAAAGGAATTCACAAATAGATTGAAGCCCTTTTCCATTAAAATAATTATTAGCGAAAATGTTGTGGAGTGTTTTATACCCTTTTGATTTTACCTCTCTATAGATTAATTAAGATCACATCTTGATTATGCAGTTCAATTGATGTTAAAAAGAACTTAATGGAACAAGAGGAATTGCTGAAGTGATCAACAAAATGAACAAGGGGAATGAAAGATTTTGTTTATAAAGCATAGCTGAAAAGTTACATTTGCTTACTGTAGAAAAACTTGATCACTGTTTTAGACAGTATATAAAAAAAATTAGTATTTTCAAGAACAGTTCTGTACATAGAACATAGTATCGTCTGCAGAGAATAGAGATTGCAGTAAAAAAAAATATTCCTTGCAGTAAAGAGATCTGGGTTGCATTTCCTTGGGAATTTCAACAGATAATCAGTAATCAACAGATATTATCAAACTCCTAAAAAGGAATCACCCTTGTGTGTTATATGTGTGAAGTCTTTTTGGCATGCTCCCTTTATCTCAATCCTCTTGGTGAAAGATAAAAGAGTTTCCACTTTTTGAGGACAAATTGCAAATCAATTTTATTTCAGATAAACAGGGATGTGTAAAGTAGAACATAGTGGGTTAGAGTTTATTTCTGAAACAAACTAAGAAGAGTTTAAACGGAAAGCAATGAGTCTTGGTGAACTAACACATAAATTACAATGGAGCTCCAAAACTTAAAAGAAGTGGACATTTTTTTCCAAATACTCCTGTCGCTCCACCCCTCCACTAGTGGTTGTAGTTAATGCAGCGATAATTACCGCTCATACCAGATGATTCTGTGTATCACTTCTACTTAGGTTACTGCGGAAGACTCAGCTTGTGCAGAAGAGATGGGACACACTGTCCATGAACCCTCGTTCATTGTACGACCAATAAAAAATGGTGTAACACTGAAAAGCACACTGACATCAGGGTATTCCAGGTTTAAATTAGATAAAGTGGTTGTGGTGTCCTTAGAATATTGGTCCCTCTAAATATTGGTTGCATCTTTTTTTTACACTTTTTTTTTTAATTTACAACTATAAAACATCTACTATTGCTTGTGGTTTCATATATTTTAAATAACTATATTCTCAAACCTTATAAACATCCATCTACCATGTGATGAGGTTAAACATGTGCAATGGTTCTTAAAATTCAGGACCTTAACACACCAAAGAGCTTAGATGCCCCAAACTCTGTTGGATTAAGACATTTTGAATAAAGATGAACAAGTATGCAGCAGAGCTATCACACTACTCTTTAAGGTTAAGTCATTCATTGCTAAAGCTGGTATATTTACCCTTTGACATTCTGTTGCTTTAGTTGGTATAAATACTCAAGAGTATAAGATTCATATTTGAGAAACTAAGAAACAAAAAATGTCAGAAGGTATAAATGTCAAAAAATGGCAAAATGGCAAACAATGCCTTGTGTCTTCAAACAAAGAAACTGTTAGAATGTGTCTATTTTTCATCTGAAATGGTTAGATATGTATTGACGTAGCTTCCTCTAGACCAGCTTTACGGTTATGTATGCTCTTTTCTCAGACTTTACTAGAATGAACTTCTTTGTTGTTTGAGAGATCTTAACAAAAACTCAAATATGAACAGACCTACAGTCAGGTGTTGACATTTCACTAGTTGTCTCTCGTATAAACCAACAAGGCAACAACACACCCCTAGTCAACAAATGAATGAACAGCTAATTAACGTATTCCTTTTCATCCTGTAATTTAAATAAAAAATGTGAATCATACGGGATATATGGTTTAATGCTCTGAAATGAAAACTGGCATTCAATGCATTATAATCCCAATGCAATGTGCTGAAATAATACTTATGGTCCCCAATCTGTAACAACAGCAAATCCCATAACTGGATCCAGACAGGTAATTGTACCGCAAGTCTCTGTTTGGTGCATTGTTTGTAGTTGTTAAGCATTCTACCCACACAGTGAATTCGTATGTGCAGAAACATTAGTGTGCACGCTTTGAAAGGGTCATGAGAGCATGCTGCTAATTCCCAGCACTGGATGAATTATAATATGGAATTATCAATATAATGTCATACCCGCTGACATTCTCTATGTGACAGCAAAAAGCATGAGGTTTGCGTAATCATTTATTTGAAATAAGGAATAATGTATTTGCTTTTCTGACAAATTATTTCAACACAACATCTTCACAGGAGAGCTTTCCATTATTTTAACAACTTTGTTAAATAGGTCTAAATTACAGTATGATTACAGGAGGACGTGTCATCAACATACTGCTAACTCTATGGATCAAAAATTATGTTTCGTAGATTAGTGATGATGTTATAATTATAATTATATGATAGGTTTCCATATGACTTCTAGCACAGGGAAACAAAAACATATATTTAATTAGCATTTCTGCTCCAAGTTGCTTATTGTGCATCAAGCAGGACGGCCGTTGTATTGGTTTCAATTATTGTTGAGATTTTAGAATTTCATCCCAAAATTAACTTGATCAAAAGATGTTATATCCTCGCATCTACTTCCTGCCCATTCACATGCATAATCAGGATTTACCATACAAGGTTCATGATCATTCCATAAAACAATGTCTGTGTTCCAAGATGCATTCAGGAAATATTGCAAACATTTTGTTCTACCAGCTAATCATATGAGAATCTGTGTCCAAAAAAACAAAACAAACCCCAACAGTTGCAGTTTACAGGATAGGTACAGTTGTATTTTGTCCCATAGATGCAGCAAGATAGAGAGACAACTGATTGGAGAAAAGGTACATGTGACCTATGCAAAAATATGCATTTAGATCCATTTAAAGATTCAGAATGATGTTTCACTGACGCCCCATCTCATGCAGCTTTCCAGCTTAGCACTATCTATTAGATATCGTATTTGAAGTGAAAAAATAAAAAAAGTTTTATGTGAATCAGTTTTCTTGCTTTGGGCCTTGAAGCTAACGTTGTGAATAAGTCCAACAAGCAGTGGGTGGATGTCAAAAGGCTATTTATATAGAGAGAATAATGCTCTATTTCAACATACGGAAATAACATTATCATATACTTACCAGTGTGAGTTTTCTCTCCAGTTTTGCAGCATTTGGTATTTTATCATAATTTTGTATTGCTTGATAAGTTTTATGGAGTTTCCATGCTATCCTGCTGTAGCATGCAATGATGGTTATGGCCGGGGTTAATGTACACAGTGTAAACATGCTGATGATGAACGAAGATCCATTGGATGAGTTCTGGAAGTCAGCCCAAGCTATGGTACATGATATACCAAAAGGTTCCGGACCATAACGTCCCCAGCCAAGCAATGGAAATATAGCCCAGAGTAAGGCGTACAGCCATATGCAGGTTATTACAATATATATAACTTTCTTTTTAACAGTGTTACCTAAAAAGAAAAAGGAAAAAAAAATCTCTTTTTAGGATGCAGAACATTTTCATACAAACAGAAATGTAATATTTGCCTATATAATACCTTTTTATATAATTTAAAATGTTACAGTCATGCTCTTTTCCCAACAATGCTTGAATACAGTAAAGTATCGAAAGGAGTGCTTATATAGACAATCACAACAAGGTTTCAGGTTTGCACTAGTAACTAGAGCATTGGGCTTGCAACCTTCTTAACCAATGTATTAGACAGAGTGGATGTAGGGATATGATATCTTATTCCATGTATGTTGTAGTACAGACTAGATAACGAACAATTATATGCCGTAAAATCTGTCCCCCTTTCATTCTGTCTGCTTTCTGTATTACAGTTCAGTCTTTAGCCTTCTGCTTATTTTGACTTGAGAAAAATTATTTGACATGATAAAAGGAGGACTTATCCCCACATTATTTCAATATACAAACAACTTAAATCCTGTGCAACTATTACAGATCCCCCTGCGGACGTGGTAGGTACAGGCAACGTTCACTATTGGTAGACCACAGCTCCACACAGAAAGGGTTCTACTTGGGCTTCTAATTCTGGAAAGTAATAGTCTATAATAGTTAAGAACAAGGGGCAGTTTGAGTTTGGAAGTCCTCCTTCCTGGCCATGGCATCATGGCAGTCACCATGTTGGAGGGAGCAGACCACTTATAGATCTTGTTCTCAAGTCATAGAGACTTAGAACTTAGGATTCATTACTCTCATAGACCAGGCAGTAACATTAATTTACCTTATTTTTCCTTTTTGGTTATTTCCACTCTATATTATCTTGCTATGTTATCTGTTCAATAAACAGAACCGCACTCCAGGTCAACTGGCCAGCTACATAAATAGCACCTATATAAATTCATTGACAATCTGACGTTTCTGTAAGTCCTACATTTCAGAAATATAAGGTAAGTCAGCCCAATGATCTACTGACTGCCATCTATAGAATATTTGGGACGATGCTAATTAAGGTTATACACCACAAAATGTAGTCTTCAGTTAACTTCTACCTAAACGACCTCTGTAATCCAACTTGAGTGGATGGACGGATGAATACACATTATGATGGCAACAAAAATATCACTGTAAAATATAACAATATTGAATTTCTTAACCATATAATGTGTAGTATTTAATTATTGCAATACAAAAAAATACATATTAGATTCATTAACCCCTTAAGGACACATGACGGAAATATTCCGTCATGATTCCCTTTTATTCCAGTTGTGTCCTTAAGGGGTTAAACTCAATTATTATTATTGTTAGGTTGAAATATCATCTGCAAATACCTGACACTAAGAATTATCTTTGTCTAAGGAAGTTTATTCTTTTTAATTATAGTAATTAAGTTGTCGCCTTCTAATGGTGCAAGCTATGTTAACAGTAATTTGTTAAAGAACAGAGGCCCATTATACTCGCTAATTATTACAGCAGTCATGTTCACTAATCATTCAAGTTTTAAAAATGATAGATGTTATTACCAACAACAAAAAACAATGTGATACCCTACAAACATAGCTCCCAGGGCTTGTTTTGTGCAGTTTATTTCAGCAGTGATGCAATGTTAATGAATCATTAATAATGTTCCTTTACTGTCTGCTAGTGACAACGGTGCCCATGGCAGCAACTTATATTGTCACAGGAAAAAGCAGATATGAGATGATTGCTCCATTAGGATGCGACGAGGAGAAAGAAGAGTGAGGGCAAGCACTGGCACACGTGATAAGTAATAACAGGACCAGCAATGAAAAATATCCTTAGAGGACCAATGTGCAAAAAAATATTATGACAAAATCAATTAAAAACATAGATGTCATTGCCGATATCCCTGTTATTATGACACCTGCTATCTATGACTAAATAAAAAATGAAGAAAAAAAAAACCCTGTATATATTACCGCTTGCGCTATAACTACCAGCAAGTTTGGAGAACTGTATAGGCTATAGGATCCAGCCCCAATTTCTAAAAAACAAAACGTTACCTGCCCACTATTCTAAACCCCTATATATTACATAGTTACATAGCTGAAAAGAGAAATGTGTACATCAAGTTCAGCCTTTCTCAAATCTGTTTTGCTGTTGTTTCAAAAGAAGAGTTTGAAGTGCTTCCAATTTTGCAACAAATAAGGAAAAAGGAGAAAAATGAGCACAGGGCTAATATAAATGTTTTAACTGCTTATTTGTGTTCCAGTTCTGCAGTCTACTCCCATATGTACCCTGTTTAGGGTTAATTGGTTGTGTAGTCTCATATGAATGCCACTTATGTCTCATTAGGAGTTTCAGCTTTGAGCTCAGAGCAGCAAGGCACATTGTCAGTGCAGCTGCTTGACATTGGCACTTGAGCTTACATTCAGTGACCACAGAGTGGGACTAATAACCACTGTTGTGTGCATCTAAACTGCTACCATGCCACCATGTTTCCGGGTTATTTTCCCATTAAGGTTTTTGCTAACAAAGAGTTGAACTGTAAAATTTATTCCAAACATGTGAAAAGGAAAATATATACATATATATTTTTAGTAAACAATTATTATAGTTTACTTTTTACAAGATGAATATTAACTGGTCACTGGTTGTTGAGTAAATATTCCAAAATCCTACTAGAAAAAAAAAAAAATACAATAAATTATTGCTTACGGTTGTATGTTGATGAACTGGTAACAAAATACCGAATCACGGCCATTGCAGTAAGCGTCATCATGCTGGCCACGCCAAAGAAGAACCCCATCAAGGCGTAATAAAGACAGGACGCATCTCCTCCAAACCACTGATGGTTCCAGGCTGAGGCAATAGCCAAAGGGTACATTGTGATAGCCATGCCGAAATCGGTTACTGCTAAATTTATAGAAAGGAAGTCTGGAGACTTGAGTTGGGAAGAACATTTCACTGCAGTAATCAGGACAGCTAAATTCCCCACGATAGTCAAAATAGCTGGAAGAAAAATGATCGCAGGTGAACAGTGGTGATCTAGTATATATAACGTTTCACGTACTTTTTAATTCCTGTAAAGAAGGCAATATAGTAAATGAATCGTGTATAAGGGAAGTTAGAATGTAGCTAAATTGGATCCAGATATTAAACCGGTATATTTTACAGTGCGCTGTGCAATATTAATTTACAGAATTTTAAGTATGTATAAAAAATTGCTTTGTTATAGGTTACTTTAATTAATTTTTTCATATAATAAATATAAATCAGTATATTTATTGAATAATTCCAAGGAGACAAAAAAGGAAAAACAAGCTGAAATTGTTTTTTCTTTTTGTAAATTGAAAAAAAAAAAAATGGTAGAAAAAAAGTTCAAGTCCGTCTATTCTGAATAAGAATAGGCTTAAAGTGAATTAATAAGTTATAATACGGTAGAAATATATTTGCAGGAAACTATAGACAGAAATCAAATTTGTGACTCAAGTATCACGTCATGGGTGCTTTATGTGCTCCTATTTAGGAAATATCTCGCTATAGTTTGCAGAAATTGAAATGCACACATGCATGCGTGTAATTCTACAATCTACCCTGAGACACAAAACGTATAGCAATATGAGTGGGCATGACAGAATTTCGCAGACACAGACCTACCGTAATTGGTTTTTAAAACTGTCACATTGATTTATAGAAAACTGTTCTGATGCAGATACAGTGGTAATACCCTGGGATGAAAGGCTAAGATTGTACAAACATGCTAATGAGTTGTCTATGAAGAGATATTACTTAGAATCAAAATACTTCCTTCTATGCCACTGGAATATATTAGATAAAGAAAGAAGATTAATAAAGAAGAGGGGTGTAATGAGTGAATATGTACCATAAATCCATTTCAATGAATCTGACTGCTACTACTTACACTCTGCATATTGTTGTGTACTGCTTTACACTGCAATGACATAACAACAACTATCATTGTGATACGGAAAAAGAACAAAACTCACAAATGCTAAAATTAGGTGACACCCTTTATTGTTCTGGCTAGCTTTATATGCACCCAACACGTAAACAGAATGCACACTACCTTCTATTACACCCGTTATAGCACATGTGATCAACATTCACACCCCAGTTTATCATAGTTCCTGCAACTTCAGGTCCGACTCCTGCTCCAGAAAACATCAAATGTTCCACCAGCTCAAATTCTAAGGAAAGCTCAGACTGTACTAATAACCACATCTGTACTAATAACTGCTAATGATTGATTTTGCATATATCTGAAATGTGTAATGTTGTGTTCTGTCATTTGTTCTCCCCCTTTGCATGCTAGAATAAGAGATTAATTGCAATGTATTCATCGTGACTTATAAACCTATAATAAATAAATACATATCTATGTATAAAACATGTATGGGAATTGCACACAGTTGTCAATCCTCTCTCCCACAGTTCCTTTCAAATAAATATTTCTGAAATAATTAGACTGACTGCACCCCCTGCCTTGACTGTCTCCAATAAGCGGATTTGTTGGTTAGATGCCAACAACTCTACTTATGTAAAAATGTGCCTCAATTGGCATTATTTTCAACTTCACTACAATTTTCAAAGCCTAGCCCAATGTATATTTTAAGACTGCATTCAATTAAAAATATCCCCTCTGTTAAACATGATGTAAAAGGCTGTTTTAATAAGAACCACTGAATGATCACTGTAATTGGACCAGAAAGGACACAGGAATACTGAATCTGGGCTGGCTGTATGGTAAAGGAACACTCTTTACCCATAAAACACATAAAGGCTTACTCGAACCTCCATTAACTTTATGTTTTTTGGGACTTCTACCAGGCAAAGAACCCCCTCTGCCAGCTTACTAGTGATGATAGTCTACCGATGATAGTCTAGGGTCATTACCTAGTGTGGCCACCAACCACACAAGTCATTATGGCCAATAGCTTTCTGCACTCTGTACCTCCCTTTTTGTTTGGGCATCCTTGACAGCCAAAAACTGACATGCATTAAGTCAGGGAGTTGTGGGATTGTCAAATCTGTAATGCCATCAATCTCTGAGCCAAAATAATGTTAAGACTAAAGGGAAACCTCAGGCTAACCAGTTAAACACAAGGGCCTACAGAGGACAGATTGAGTAATCAGCAATCAATCAGCATATAACTACAAGCCAGACTTTCAAACTCTTCCAGCACCATATCACATCAATAACCATCAACATCAATAATTCTTGGAGAGATGGGCAGGAACAAGATAAAATAAGTTAGAACATCAGCATTAGACAGACTTCCCCCTGTAATAGTTTAAAACACCTACTATGCTTACTTTAACCAGTCATGTCTGAGGAAAACCTCATCTAATCTGCAAACAATTTTTAGCAGTTTCAGAGAAAATAAGAAACCTTAAGGCAGAGTTCAAAATTACAAGTCCTACACTACAAGCTACAACACCTGTCACACATGGAAAGGCCACTGCCGGTCTGCTCAACCTCTGGACTCTCCCTGCTGTGTGATTGTGATGTCACCTACATCTGGCTTTAAGGCTGGACACACAATCTGAAGTCATCAGTAAATAAAAAAGCAATTTGAAACATAACATGAAGAGTAGGTCCAACAATACTCAGGAAGTCCTAAAATGCAAAGGTCTATACAGATGTCTACCATTTCCACAACCTGCAGTAAAGGCCTGGTCCATCCTTCAAGCTGCTACACACTGCAGGAACGACACCTCCTGGCATAATGATTGATACTAAATGCTACCCCTCCTACCTTTGGCTTTTTTTAGGTTTAGTAATTCACATCATTTACCAAGTCCATGTTTTTTTCAAACTATTGTTATTGAACAGTATTTTAAAAAACATATTTCACATTAATTTGGTAGATAAAGAATAAACATTTAACAATGGAAACAAGTAGAAATAAGAAGGGAAGGTGAAAAAAATTATGATCAAAAAGAAATAAATAAAAAAAAGGGAGGGGACAGGTGCTATCCAAATGTATAATAATAAAATAGTGGATTTGTTCCTGTCAAAATATAATACAGAGAGTAATATAATCAATTGTATGTCTAAATATAGTGTATATCAATATGTAACAGGGTGTGTGGAATTGTCTACAGGAGAATCATTGTTCCAGGAGTCCCAGGGAAACTGCAAATTATTTTTTTGAGGTGAGGGTTGCCACAACGCCAGTTCATACCTTTTGTTATCGAGCACTAAAATCAGTGCTTCCTTAATTGATGGTAAAGTAGTAGACTTCCAATAACAAGGTATTATCAACGTGAATCTACAGCAACACCTCGGAGGTACACTTAGAGCATGTAGGGACCGTACTCGACAGGATTAGGGGAGCCGGCCTAACCTTGAAACCAGACAAGTGTCACATTGGTATGGCGGAGGTACAGTGTGACAGAACCACTGATTAGTTATCTGTTTTACACTTGTATTGTGTGTTTCCCCTTGTATTTTGTGTGCTGTGCCTTGTTTTACCGTTCGGGGGCGTCCATACGTACAGTACCCATTCGCCCCTCAAACAGGGACCACCCCGTTGCCCCATTAGAATTTTCACCCCAATTAATTAGAACGTTTACACCAGTAACATAATTGTGAAACCGCAAGGGAAGTAATTGAGTGCTCCCCTGGGTGGCCACTATTTTATATAGACAAACGCCAACCAGGGGGAGCATTCGTATCTCGAAAGAAGACGCTTCACTTGCCTGTTGTTCACACAATAGCCTCACAATCGGAGACCAATCATGGAATGTACTGTGTGGGGTTTCCTAAGGGTGGTGGGGACACTTTGGGGGCACTGGCTATTTTGGCAGGCCTTCAGTGCCTGGGAGACAAAGAGACTTGGTCCCCTTTCCGAGGCCCGGGCTCCCTGGTACAGAGGCTTCTGGGATGAAGACCCCTGCCGTTTGGCGTGGAAGACCCCCTTGAATGTGGAGTGGGCTTTCTGTACCTGGGAGACAACAGACTGGGGCCCTTTGCCCGCACCTTAGCTCCTAGGTACAGAGGATCCTTGGATGGGAACCCCTGTCTGCTTGTGTAGAAGACCCCTTGCAGGGGGTTATGCATAAAAGCCGAGTCGCACAATGAAATCATGTTGTACTCCCAGAGCTGTGTCTCATCCATTTACTGGGGGAAATGGAGGTCTGTTTAATTTGATTGTTCCAGAGTGGCTGAAGGAAGGAATTAGCGGAGGTCCGCTACATACAGGATTTGGGCCACCATATAGGGTGTAGTAAGCAATGGCCTGAACCAGCCAAATCCATGTTCTATTGCCCCAGCACCATCAAGCATGCACATTATGTGACTACCTAATCAAACATCGCAAACACACTCCATGCTACCTATTTTGGTTTCTTGCAAACATTCTAGTGCATTATCTTGTATTGAGTGCTATCAACCCTGCTTGACTCCTTTGGCTCATCTTGTCCTTTCACTTATCTGAACTATATGCCCTACCTTCAGCACGTTCCTTGATTTTTCTACCCACTTGCAGGTTTGATATTTAACCTTATTTTAGCTGCCATGATAAGTACAACCACTAAGGCCTAATAATATGATATTATTCTGCCTTTTCTTGTCACTTTGTGACTTCTAGTGAGGTTTGCCAAGTCAGTTCCCTCTGATTGAGCAAATAGTTTTGCATTGGAGTTATTGACACAAAGTGAAAATCAATGCAACCAGATAAAGAATTAACTGAGCAGACCAAAACTTCTAGAATAAACATCACAAAATGATAATGAACCCTAAGTGCAAATGGACAACTAACATGGCCATTGTCTATGGTTACAGACTCCTCACGTGGCTATAATTCTCTTGTCAAAATGAAAAAAAAAAAAAACCTGAAGATAATGCTCTTGTAACAATTGAATCCAGAAATAAGTATGCATTTCCAAAACAATCACTGTGCCATCAACACAACAGTTTACTTTATTTCTTTCCAGAGAGACCTGTTTCTGACTAGTGAAAGCCACATTTCCCATTGGTAAATATTTACACTCTAAATATTCCCATGCAATCAATTTATGAGTTTAGTTTTACAATCCATGGTGCATCTAGGTCCAAGGAATGAATTGCATAGTCTTCTCCAATTCCATCTGACATCCTTAAAAATAAAGTACCTTGAACATTTAGCTTTCTGATAACTCTTCACTAATACGTCCCGTAGGACAATAGCTGGTTTCTGCTTTAAGTCAATTTCGATCCATAATTTAGCCCTTTTTATATATTCTGTTGGCTAATCCCTATAAACCTGTATAGAACGAAAATATTTCTCCTAAAATAATAGAATTTCATACCCAATATAGTTTAATAACTATCTGAGATAATTTGGTCAAATTTCAATTTGTGCATTTCCTGGGGAAGGCTCCATGGTGGCCATTTTCAACTGGTAATAACACTCTACTAGATTTGTGGTATCTTAACTCCATCTTCTGCATGGTTTCATGGCAGTGAGGAAATTGTGATTACGATCTCTTTACCTCTCTGATATTTTCCAGACTCAATCTCAAAAGTAACATCATGCTGGTAAGTGCAACATCATATTAGAAAATACATGCATCTCTACTGCTAAGCAGGTTTAGTTGTCAAAAAAAAATGGTAGTATGCTGTAATAAAAGAGCTTATGATACCAGAACTACAACAAAATATTGTTGTAAGTTGTTTTTTGAATGTTGACCTATGGTGATCAAATTACTGAAATTTAGGCCTGGGCTTAAAGGAGCACCACAGACTCAGCTTGCTGAAGGGCTGTATGTGTGAAGAGTGTGTCCTCTTTTTATTATTTTACAAAAAGTTGAGATTTCAATAGAAATTGACACTTTTATAAATTCACCTTGTTACAACTCCTGACTTTTAATCAGACAACAGTTCCTGATACTTCCTTGTTTGCACAGCTTAGTGGAGTTAAAGAAACACTATAGGGTCAGGTACAAAAATATGTATTCCTAATCCTATAGTGTTAAAACCACCATTTAGGTGGCTTGCCCTCCCCCTACCCTCCTCCCCAACCTCCTTAGAAAAGGTTAAAACTCAACTTATTTCCAGCGCCGTGCAGATCATTTGGTGCTGGCCCTGCCCCCACCCCCTCCTTTATGACATCATCAGAATTTAGTTGTTGTTTTTTTGGCCAATCAGCACCTCCTGATTGAGATGTATTGATCCCTATGAGGAAAATTCAGCCTCTCCGCGCAGAGCGTGGAGACGATGACTGGCAGTGCTGCACAGTGTGCCATCTGAGGAGTGGCCACTGGAGGTGTCCCTAGGGGGCAATGTAAACACTGCCTTTTCTCCGAATGAATGATTGTAATTACCAGAACAACTACATTAGCTGGTGACTGTAGTGTCCCTTTAAACTCAAGAGGCAGCAATTGCCCAGAGCACCTGCCTTGCAAAGACTTCTCGTTGAGCTGCAATGGGAAGTCTGTGATTGGACAGCCACAGAAAGTCTGGGCTGGGATAGAACTGGAGGGCTTACAAAGGTTGCAAGCTGTTTTAGAATAACCCCATGTTTTCATTGGCGGTATATCTACTAAATAGAGAATTTTAGCTTTTTTTTATTTGTCTTTGGGCAGTATAGTGTTCCTTTAAGGCATCATTCCAGACCTCAGAAATGTCAGGAAAAAATTATTATAACAGGTCGGACAGAGTGAGATTTATTTCAGTAGGCTCCTTTAACTCTCAAATGAAGCAGGAGCAACATTACTGGCAGAAAGTTGTTGTAGAACGTCAGACCACTATGGCAGGCCCTGCTTCCCTGCTTTTGTGGACAGGTCTCCAAGGCTGCATAGGGTTTGCTTTATTGTAGTCCAAGACATGAATACTACTATATTGTGCAGTCACTGACCAAGAGGCACAGACATTCACTGTTTTTAAGTGGAATTGAACCAACAGATGTTGGGAAAACTGTTTGAAAAAGAAAATTAAGTAATGGTCACGTTTTAATAAAAAAATGCAAAAAAATAGTTTTTTGGACGGCCGAGTTCTTTGTCTCAGTATTTCTCCTCTGCTTGACTTTTCTTGACACAAGGATTTGTTAAAGTGACAATCCCTGCAGACGCCACTGACGGCTGCAGAGAATTGGTTGTGTCCGAGACTGCCTTAAACCTCAATGCTGTACTCTTGCACAAGCGCAAGAGTACAGCAATGTTGTCAGTGCCTAGGAGGACCACACAGGACCAAGATGATGGCATTCCACAAGGGAAAGGATCAGGTAAATAATCTCACCTTTACCTGCTAGTCTTTGGCCACCAGATGTCGATGTTACTGTTGGGGGACTTTGCCAATTTGGCAAAGTCAACAAACAATGACAGTACTACTTTAAACAGGTTACGTTTTGCTTTTTCAAATTTGTACTTTTCGTTTTCAATGTATTTCTTTGTTCTCTATTCTCTTTGTTTTTCTCTTTTTTCTTAATTAGTACATTTTGCTATGAGCAAATATCCTGAGTTTTTCATTAATATGTAACTGCTAGTAACCATAACTACTGCAACAAGCATATAATTTCCAGTCCAAGCAGAAAAGATTTTATCTTGGAGTGTACGTCGTATTTGCTCAGGTTTTTTTATCACCAACTATATCAATTAAACTGAAAAAAATATATATATTATATATATAAAATACTTTACTATACTAATGCTTATTGTATAATTATTTTTTTTACCCTAAAAGGACCAATATTTTGAATTAAAAAGGAACATACCAATAATAAAAGTGTATATTTATATATACACTTCCGTGATAATGTTAAATATCACTTTATAACATTTAAAATATGGCTAAGTGTTGCTACCCCAGATTGAGTAATTCATAGACATAAATTTATATATAATCTATGTAAAAATAATGTATGCCCATCCACACACACACAAACACTACTATGGCACAATGACTAATAGGGATGGCATACATTTTTTTCCAGGGCTGCTTTGCATTTCCAGTCTGGCCCTGCTTCCGGGTGAACTTAATCTCGGCATTCATTTTTTATTTAATTAAAAATAGTTGTTTTTTTAAAAAGGGGGACCGCCTCAGAAATTGTTACTAGGATAGGTTACTCAAGCCAAATCAAGTGTTTTATGAAAAAAAATATGTTTTGGGTTGAAGTGACCATCATAATTACACATCAAGGTTTGTTCAGTTAACTGAGAAAATTGCAAATTGTCGGCCAACAAATTCTCCAGCTGTTTTTAATTTTTTTTTTTTTACAGTCCAACTATATTTACAAAATGGCTTTTTGTGGTTTAAAATGTGCTATTCCCTTGAAAACATTTCACCCATCCCCAGTTTTGGAAATACAGTCGTCTTTGCAGTTTTCAGCTGAAGAATGTACAGAAAATCGAATTTCACAAAGCAATCTATCATATTTAAAATGTATTTACTTTCTGCAATAAGAAGCATCTTCAAGTGTCAAGAACGTGTATTTATTGGTTTATCAACAACAGTAAATGTTCAGATCAATAAACCATTTTCTGAGATGCAAATTAAATGTCCCCTTAATGAATAAGACTATGTTGGTCTTGCACGCTTTGAATTTGAAATTGTATCCTATAATTTTAATAAATTACTTTCCAACATGCCTCGTCCAAATCTCATCTTCAAACAATTAACCAAAAAGTGAAGAAATGGTTTACTACAATTTACAATATTTAAATCGATACATTTTCTATTAATATTAAATCATTTACACATTTACTGTCAGTGCAGTCTACCTACCAACAGCGTAACAGGGACTCTTGCACCTGTATTAATATGTACATCTATTGTTAAATGTAATAGCATGGACATAAAGAAGTAGATTTACTCACCTATTATAATCAAAAAAATTCCTGCCCCATAATCCACAAAAGGGTGTAATTTAGAAACATATTGTTCCATCCTCTAATCTGCAGAACTGAACTTTTTTTTAAGCCATTTAGTTGCTTAGGGAAATTCACCGATTATAAGTCTTTTTTTCAATCTGTGTTGGTATTAATCAATATGAGGCTTCAGTAAAAGATATATTGAAGCAATTCTTGGTTCGTCAATGAGGAAAGACAGAGAGAGGCTCTAGGAAGCTGTAACAGTGTGCTTGGTTCTAAAGTACTTTTAGATTGTATATAGCACAGAAAGCACTGAGGGGGGAGGGAGCACTCCACAAGAAAGGAGGAGATTATTTTAGGCATGTCCAAGAATATTAATCTTGAGAAAAAGATATATAGAGGATAGGGTGCTAATAGAATTCAAGGTAAATGTCAGACTGAATTATTGTTGGGAGGTTTTTTTTTCATAGAAGTAATGCTGCATAATCTAGAAACTGGAATAGTTATTATAATTCAAAGAATGTAAAATTAATGTTCTCCAGGCTGTAAAATAACTCAGCCTGAGTCATGTATGCTAGGATGGCAGCAGTTTAAAAACAAGTTTAATTCTGACATGTTTTTAAATAAAATTTAAGAAACAAGAAAACATATGAACAATCCATAATGCAGTTTTATGTTAGAATAAAATGATTAGATATTTGACAGTAATGATTTCATTACCCTTTTCAGTGTCAAATATGGGGGAATGTCACAAAATCGCACAAGTGAATGCGAAAGTGAATAGGACACGTCCAAATCTCTTCAAACTCTCAAAATGGCATCAATGTTCAACATTTGTCCCTGACCTGGTCACAGGGTAGGGTCAACCAGCTCAAAAATAAATTCCTTATTAACCTGAAGTGGAGCAAATGAGATGTTCTGGATCCATGATATCAGTATGTGGATTGGTTTGAAGGCCAATAACATTTTAGATCTTTAAAACATCCCCTACCCATTTTTATTGACCCTCACAAAGCTGACCAAGATATGAGGTAAAGGTGGGCTTTTTTTTTTCTGTCTCTTTACCAAAATAGTGCTTTTAGATAACCCTACTACAAATCAATTATTCTTAAATTTCTGTTTTGAACTTTTTGCTTACTGGATACATTATGAAGGCTAACTGACATTTCTCCAAATGTCCATCTTTATTGGCAGTTATTGGTCAGTTTGTTAATAAATACTTGAATTCCTTTCATTTTTTTTATGTATTTGGTCATTGGAGCTATATTTCTTTTTAAATATAGCTATAAGAAAACACATACCCTATACCAATCTCTCGCTTTCATCTATCAAGCAAATCCATACCTCTTAACAGCAGCACCGATTCAGCAGGATGTCGGTGGGCGGGGTAAAAGGGTTTGTCACTGACACAAATCCCGTAGTATTGGATGGTAAGCCTGGCATGAATGCATGTCAGGCTGCCTGCCAATCATGCAGGCAAGCCAACTATAGGCATACTATGCAGTCAGCCCCCTGAGCTTGGCGCAAATGCATCTAATGATACGCTAGCTCTACGTTTTCTGGGGACAGTCGCCTAGCACCCTTGTCCACTCCTCTCCTTTCTTTCTTATTAGCAGTCCGAAGTAGCAAGATCATTTGCACAGTGCGCAGAGTCAGCTTTACTTTAAAGGGACACTATAGTCACCAGAACAACTACAGCTTATTGCATTTTTTCTGGTGAATATAATTATTCCCTTCAGGCTTTTTGCTGTGTTTACATTACAGCCTAGTGATAACTCCACTGGCCACCCCTTAGATGGCTGCTAGAGGTGCTTCCTGGGGCAGTGCTGCATAGTGAGCAGCACTGCCATTCACTGTCTCCACCCTCTGCATGCAGACACTGACCTTTCCTCATAGAGATTAATTGATTCAATGCATATGTATGAGGAGATGCTGATTGGCCAGGGCTGTGTTTGGCTTGTGCTGACTGGCCTCTTGACAGTCTTAGCCAATCCTATGGGGAATCATTGTGATTGGCTCAGACCACCACTTCTGATGATGTCAGAAGAACATGGGAAGTTCCCAGGCAGAAAGGGGCAGAGCCATGAGCTGCAGACTTGAATACAAGTAAGATTTTACTATATTTCTGGAGGCAAGGGGGCAGTGGTGTATTTATGGCGAGGCAGACAAGGCATTTGCCTTGGGTGGCACTTTTAGGGGGGCGGCAAAAAAAGCCACCCCAAAAGCTCTGGCAGATGCCTTGCCATCCTCTTGTCCTGGGGGCTCAGGAGATGCCCGGGTGGCCACCTCTGCCCCCCCATCCCAACAGAGGCTGGCATGGGCTGATGAGGGAGGCGGGCAGTGTGTGTCTGATAATGAGAGTGTGTGTGTCTGATAATGAGAGTGTGTGTGTCTGTTAGTGAGAGTGTCTGTGTCTATAAGTGAGTGTGTCAGTAAGACTGTGTGTGTTAGTGTGTGTGTCTGTTGGTTTGTGTGTTAGTGTGTGTGTGTCTGTTGGTGAGTGTGTTTGTTTGTCTGTGTCTGTTAGTGAGAGTGTGTGTGTCTGTCAAAAAGTGTGTGTCAGTGAGAGTGTGTATGTCTGTTAGTGAATGTGTATGTCTGTCAGTGTGTGTATTAGTGTCTGTCACTGAGAGTGTGTATCTGTCAGTCAATGTGTTAGTGAATATGTGTCTCTGACACTGAGTGTATATGTGTCTGTCAGTGAGTGTGTAAGTGTCTGACACTGAGTGAGAGTGTGTCTGTCAATGAGTGTGTATGTGTATGTGTATTTGTCAGTGAATGCGTGTGTCAGTGTATGCATCAGTGAAGGCATGTGTCTGTTAGGCAAAGAGCATATTGGTTTTTAACAGGAAGTGAAATTTAGAAGGGGGGAGGGTGTGCCTGAGTTTTGTCACAAAACCAGAATACACCACTGCAAGGGGGAGTGGGGAGAGGGGGGCTAGATGGTGGTTTTAACACTATAGGTTCAGGAATACATGTTTGTGTTCCTGATCCTATAGTGCTCCTTTAACTAATCTCATAGTCAGCCAGTCCATACATGTTTTGTTCCATTACATCCCTCTTAAATTTCCATCCTTAATTCCCTAGGACAAAGCAAAAGCATGTGAAGAGTAGTAAAAATATATATATATATTTATCAATGGTCCTATTCCATGGTCCTGGAGCTTCAGGTCCATCAGCCCCTATTTTAATCCGGCCCTGCCTGTACAGTGTTATTTCCATATGCAGATATTAGAGGATTACAATTAAAGCCTCAGTAAATATTTTCAAAAATCTAAATGAGTGTACCCCAATCTACCTGTCCATCCATTTCCAGTTATGAGCTTGGTTACCTTCACCTGTCCTCTGCTCCTTTGCAAACCTGCACCTCTCAAATTAAGTGTCACTCTGTTACTCTCTGTGGATTTATGAAATCCATTCACTTTTTCATGGAAACCTTTTAGATCCATCCAAGTTCCCTGATTGACAATTCGTGGCGGCTGTCTTAGAACTGCAGCTATTTTTTTTTTAAATAAATCTATGAATTTATAAGCCACTGCAAGAACTTAGAGTTAGTGCAGGAATCAAATGTTTACTCTGTGTACCATAACTTCGCAATAATACAAATGTGTTATGGTACTTAGTGTGGACTTTTAATTCTTCTTTCACAGTCCACCTCAGTGAGATGATGTCTGCCCAGTGCTTGTTGTTATTTTTCAGCTTTTTGACATAGCCAATCCCATATAACAGTCATGCCATTCCTTTCACCAGGACGGGAAAACCTTGATTCCTGGTTGTCCAATGGCTACAGTGTGAGTTGTATGCATTGGTTCTTACTGGGAATGTACCATTCTAGTAGCCACATCTCAGCTATCACATCCATGGAAACCACCAGAGAAATTATGGAAACTCCCTCTCTGATAACAAGTGGGTACATAGTAAAAAAACAACTCACTGCAGGGTAGTGGACATCTCAGGGCTTGGGAGGATGCCTCACTTTCCCCAGATTGAGGGCGGCCCTCATTCTGTAACTTCATGTAGCAGTTTAGAAGCTTACTTGAGCAAGGTCTTATTCCAAATCATGTTTACACAATTACTTATACATGTCACTTTCATACTGTAGAGTGCTACAGAATATGCCGCTGTAATATGAATAAAAAATAGGAACATTCTATTTTATCGCTTTTAAGCCAATAAGCCAGAAACAGCATTACAGTGTGTTGGATTTTGTCATGTTGCAATACATTTAACAGGTTTATTATTTTCTTTTCTCTTGCATTGACCTCTTTCAACGTTCGTAATAAATCGATATCAGGCTGAGATTCTTCAAATCCCTGTTTGTGCTTCACATTGTATTTATATAAAAATGCCAATTCCAACATGACCTTTTATGGTAAAAATAGAAAAACTGTTATTTGGGCACTGACACTGAGAGATGATAAATACAAAAAGGTAATATCTTAAAGCAGATGGTTGTTATTGGTATTAACACTTTCACTGAGAGAATAGCACTGCAATCTACCTCAAATAAGAAAGGGCTTTCTGAAATTAAAATGCGGCATGTATATAATTACCTTACAGCGGTTTGTATTTTTAAGATATGGCAACTCACTGCTAAATGTTCTGTGTGTTTTTCAAGATATATAATTCACACATGCTTTGAGGCAGTGCTGTCCAGTATTAAATAGAAATAATTCACTTAAAGAGAAACCAGGAGAAAAAAAATTCACAGGAACTGCTAAGGTTGGTTAATTGATTGAATTATCGGGCAGCATTTGTCGTGTACTTTACGTGTCATGCTGAAGAAGTTTATTGCATCTAGGAAAATATAATGGATTTGGCAAAACCTAGCTGGCTATGTGAGATAAATGTGTTTTTATACATTGCAGGGATTTTTAGAGCATTCTTAGGAATTCTTAGCTCTCATTCGGGATGAAAAGTATGATCAGCTTAGAAGTGTTCCACTTGCAGGCCCCTATTCCATAATAGACTCACAGGACTCCATACGGCCCCAATTAGAGTTTTTAGATTAGGTTTTCGATGAGGAGTGCTTTAAAGAATGCATTTGTCATGGTTTGGTATCCCTGGTTACATTAA